ATCAAGCAGAGAAAATTACCATAAATAGTTATTAACTACAGTGCAGGATGTGGTGGGGGCAATGGGGTTGGCTAGCAAACGCTAAACTACAGGAGCTGTGGTGATAGACATGGCTGGGATCTGCTTGGTGCTGTGGCTACTCCTGGTTTTCAGTTCATTGGATGGAGAGTGACCTGGGATATTTGCAAAGCACATCTCTGGCTGTGTCTGTGAAGGGGTTCCCAGAGAAAACTAATTAAAGGAGAACAGACCCACTCTGAACATGGAGGACTCTCTCTCTCTTTCTTTCTTTCTTTCTTTCTTTCTTTCTTTCTTTCTTTCTTTCTTTCTTTCTTTCTTTCTTTCTTGACAGAGTCTCCCACACTGTGGTCCAGGCTACTCTCAAACTCATGATAATCCTCCTGCCTCAGCTTCCTGAGTGCTGGGATTATAAACATGTGCGCCACACCCAGCACAAGACAACCATTTTTAACCCTCTCCTTACCTGAGTGAATGTGGGTCCTATACGTCTTTGGTGATTCTGATGGAGACCCCCTGCCTCTCCTTGAGGTTTCAGTTTCAGCATTGCTTCTAAACCTGGCTACTGATCCTCTTGCCCAGTTCCCTTTTCTCCCAGCCTAAAGTCCAGGGCTCTGTAGAGCCCCTTTGGCTGTTTCCTCCAAATGCAAAAGCTCCTCCAGGAAGGAGGAGGGAGGCTCAGAATATCCAGGAATCAATGAAGACCGAGGCTCAGGAGGCCCTGCCCAAGGTTGTAAAAGTGGAACTGACAGGGAGCATACCTGGAGCTCCAGGGTATCCCTCTGTGTGTGTGAGTCACTGTCCATGCTGGGTGGGTGAACTTTTTCATGATGCATCTGTCTTTGAGTCATCCACATTCCTATACAAATGGAATGCCACAAACTCATTGGTTCTTCAAATAGACTTACTTAGAGACATTCCTTTTTTGTTTTGTTTTTTAATCAGTGCCCTATCTGGGTGAATATGCAGACATTTGTTCATGTCTCCCCAGGAAAAGTCTCACAGCAGGTGACTATGGTGACAGGGAGCCAGGCCTAGAGATTCATTACTGTAACTGAGACTACAATGTCAGCCTTGGATACGGTGAGATGACTCCCTGGGTGTTGAGAGTCTCACAGGGGAGCAAGTGAAGGGCGCTGGCAGACCTGAAAGACACTGAGTGGTGGGTCAGAGCCAGAGTGTGGGTAGCTGACACGCTCTTTTAGATAGCCTGAGGTCACTGGGAGGGCAGAGGGGGCCACAGAAGACGGAGTTTGTGTTCCGTGGAGGTCCCTGTTGCTGTGTGGTATGAACAAGCTTCACCCTGCTCTGAGTCCACTTTACAAAACAGAAGTTGGCTCCATTTGAGTGCAAATTACTAGGCAGGCTCATTAATACTGCATCTTGTAGCTGGGCGTTGGTGGCACATGCCTTTAATCCCAGCACTCGGGAGGCGGAGGCAGGCCCATCTCTGTGTGTTCGAGACCAGCCTGGTCTACAAGAGCTAGTTCCAGAACAGCCTCCAAAGCCACAGAGAAACCCTGTCTCGAAGAACCAAAAAACAAGATAAAAAAACAAAACAAACAAACAAACAAACAAAAAATTGCATCTTGTGTGTGTGTGTATGAAGACACTGTCAACTGTCTTGTACCTGCTATGAGGTATATACTGATAAATAACTCATTCATGTAAACTAAAAAGTGTCACCCATGAACTTATCAGAGTAGATGGACATACATGGACACGAGCAGATTAAAACTATATCAGAAAAACCAGGCCAGTGAATTTATCCAACACACAAAGAACAACAGTGAAGGCTATTGTGTCCATACAGACTTGGCCTCGGACCTGCCTTGACTGGACCGCTGGTAGGTAGGCCTGGATCTCTCTCCAGCTGGCCTTCTGTCCTAATGGCCCATGGCCACTTGAGTATGTGTCAGGTCTCTGTGCTCATTAAGACCTCTGTGAACTCTGTGGTCTCTTGAACTCTCCTGCAGCCACTCTGTCACTTACATATATGTTACTGTGTGAATGTGCTGTATTATCTGAGGGGTGACATTAGTAACTTATCAGAATAAAAAGAACCTGAAGCTGGGGGGTTAGGGGTGTATTCCTATAATCCAAGCACTTAGGAAGTTGGGCAGGAGGGTCAGGAGTTCAAGGTCAACTTGGACCACATAGTGAATGGGAGACTCTGTCTCAAAAACAAAACAAAGCAAAACAAACAAACAAAAAAACAAGCAAGCACAACAACAAAAAACCTACAGTCAACTAACCAACCAACTGTGATTGCCAGTGGCCACAATATTTAGGGATATCAGAATTACTAGATAAATTGCAGTCAAGAATACTGATACAGGGCTGGAGAGATGGCTCAGCGGTTTAAGAGCACTCACTGACTGTTCTTCCAGAGGACCTGAGTTCAATTCCTGGCAACCACATGGTGACTCACACCCACCTTGAATGAGATCTGGTGTCCTCTTCTGGCATGCAGAAGATTGTATACATAATAAATAAATAAAATATTAAAAAAAGAATACTGATACAGGGGGCTGGAGAGGTGGCTATGAGCTTAAGAGCACTGACTGCTCTTCCAGAGGACTTGAGTTCAATTCCCAGCACCCACATGGTGGCTCACAATCACCTGTAATGAGATCTGGTGCCCTCTTCTGGCCTGTAGACACAGCACTCATATACATAAAATAAATCTTAAAAAAAAGAATACTGATACAGTTAATTAATTTATTGTTATTCACTAATTCTAAGCTTGTTGAAAGACACGAACATTTGTTATATGGTTTTGTGGCAGTAGGGAGAGAAGAAGGAACATTAGAAAACTGTTTGGGAGGAAGATGAGGACAATTCTGGTGGCTAAATCCAAGGGCAGCCTGGCCAGGAGGGTTGCTGGCTTCTGTCCTGGACAGGAATGTAGCCTCAAAGGGTACTGCTCTTCATTGTGGAATACTAATTAAAGATGCGTTACATTTGTTTGTGCTGTGGAACACTTATTTAATGATGCAAAGATGTGTTGCACTCTTTTATATTGCATTAGTTTAACTCTGTAAAGCTGTGTTACTTTGCCTAAAACACCCAATTTGTCTAATAAAGAGCTAAATGGCAAGTAGCTAGGTAGGAGAGGGATAGACAGGACTGCCAAGCAGAGAGAATAAATAGAGAGAGAGGAGGGAAGAAGAGGAATGAGAAGAGGAGAAAAGGAGGAGAAGATGCCCGGGGCCAGCCGCCCATCCAGACATGGGATAAGAAGGAAAGAAAAGGTAAACAGAAATAGAGAAAGATAAAATCCCAGAGGCAAAATGTAGACAGGGTAGTTTAAGAAAAGTTGGCTAGGTTTTTTTGGGAGCAGGGTGGTAGGCTTCCAAGGAGCAAAGAGTTAAAAAAAAAAAAAGGAAGGAAAGAAAGAAAGCTAACTACAACTCTTGGCAAAGCAGAGAGGAGAAAGATGTGGGGAGGTATAGGAAGAATCCAGGAGAGGCAGCCTTCAGGGCCAGGGCTGTGGGAGAGAGATCATGTGGGTGGGGGCACAGGGCTTGCTGCTGAGCAGTGAGGCCGGTGAAAGACTTCAGGATTCTGAGCATGGCCTCCAGCTTAACCAGGCAGGACTTTGAGCATAGTGGGATCTGAGGTGGAGGCTGGTGTAGCAGTCCTGGGTCAGGCTACAAAGGTAGAGGGGCTCTGAATGCTTGAGGAGAGGCTGCAGGGTGAGGGGTATGAGCCAATGAGTGATGCCCATGGGATGGGTGAGAGCCTGTGAGGCAGGAGGGACAGGCCTGAAGCTTAGGGGTCAAGGAGTGACAGGGAGCTTGGTGTAAATCCCAGAAGGCATCAGACCTAAAGAGTGAGGGGTAGGACATCTTTCAAGAGTGTGTGGGTAGCTGGGGAGGAGGTCATGGGCAGAGGCAGGGCTGAGGAAGGGGGGGTGGTGGATGCATGGGGATGGAGGACACATAAGGTTTGGTTCCGCTAGCCTGGCCTCAGAACTCTTCTTGGTCTTCTATTCTGGAGTATTCCCAGGACCAGTGAGGTCAGGCCGAGAAGAACAGAGTAGCAGTCCTAGAGTTAGGGATGAGACACTGAGGTACTTGGAACAAGGAAGTGAGGAGGCAATGGTAACACGGAGTGGGGACCAGAGCGGCACAGAGGGTCCTGGTATGATGTGTGTGGTGTTCGGGTGCAGGGAGTGAATATGTGTGGGGGAAGAAAGTGGGGTATGGGTGGAAGGCAGGTAGAACCAGACAGACAGACACAGAAACAGATGGATGGCAGACAGACAGACAGATAGACTGACAAACAGTCAGATACTCCCCCAACCCCCTACACCCACACACAGATAAATGGATAGGCAGACAGACAGACAGATACCCCCTAGGCCCCACAAATCAATGGATGGACAGACACTTATCCCAACCCCCCACACTCATAGATAGATGGATGGGCAGACAGACATACAGACAAACAGAAAGACAGTCAGATACTCCCCCAACCCCCCACACCCACCCACACACAGATGGATGGATAGGCAGACAGACAGACAGATACTCCCCCAGCCCTCCAAATCGGCCTTCAGACAGACAGGCAGACAGACATGCAACCCTGCTTTTCAGCAGAGCCTGTGACCTCTGTTTCCTTCGGATGGAGGCAGGAAGCCCATCATCCTACTCTACCAACCTTAGGAGTTGACTGAAAAGCTACTGGGAATGAAGAAAGGATGTGTGTTTGGGAGAGACAAGCACCGGGTCACGTCTCTCCTTGGTGGGCAACGCATGGGCAAGCACCTGGCCGAGTAGGTGTGGTATTGGAAGCCTGTGCTTTGAGCTCTGCCTGGCGGGGATGAGAGGCAATTCTGTTTGGGAACAGGCCCTGTGGATGTCTACTGGGCTCCAGTAGCCCCAGTCCTTCGGTCATATCACCAGGTCAGTGACAGCTGGGCTCCCTCGGTGACAGCATGGGCTCCGCCCAAGAAAGTGCAACATCTTACACAGCTCTGAGAGTAGGCACACAGTTTATTGCACAACAGGCTCTAGAGGCTGGAGGCATAGGAAGCAGCACTGGGCTCCTCCAGGGCTGCAACTGAGGCAGGCCGCTGATCTATTAGTAGCAGATCCCTCGTCAGCAGGCATCTGGACAGAGAGGCAGCTGCTGGGTGGGGATGGGGACTGTATTCTCAGAACACAGGGCAGCTGGGGATGGGGACTGTATTCTCAGAACACAGGGTAGCTGGGGATGGGGACTGCATTCTCAGAACACAGGGCAGCTGGGGATGAGGACTGTATTCTCAGAACACAGGGCAGCTGGGGATGGGGACTGTATTCTCAGAACACAGGGCAGTTGGGGATGGGGACTGCATTCTCAGAACACAGGGCAGCTGGGGATGAGGACTGTATTCTCAGAACACAGGGCAGCTGGGGATGGGGACTGTATTCTCAGAACACAGGGCAGTTGGGGATGGGGGCTGTATTCTCAGAACACAGGGCAGCTGGGGATGGGGGCTGTATTCTCAGAACACAGGGCATCTGGGGATGGGGGCTGTATTCTCAGAACACAGGGCATCTGGGGATGGGGGCTGTATTCTCAGAACACAGGGCAGCTGGGGATGGGGACTGTATTTCTCAGAACACAGGGCATCAGACCTTGAGGCTACTGTGTTCAGCCTTGTGGGGCAGGCCACTTCCTGGCTCCCTCTTGACCTCTAACACCTCCCCTGGTAACAGGAGCCGCTTCCACAGGGCGCACACAGGCCAGTGCTCACTGCCACATTCCCACTGCACGGGGCACTGCAGACACTGCCTGTCACTGGCCGTGAGCCAGACACACACAGGTCCCCAGACACAACTCCACCACGGGAGCTGCTGACACCTGTGAGAACAAAAGAAGGGTCTTGAAGCCTGGCTGGCGGTCACCCCAGCTAGTTCCCTTCCCTTGGTCGATTTGATTGCTCCAGCCCTTCTGAGAAGGCTACAAAGCCCTCAGGTCTTGTTTGTAAACTGTACAGGGAAACCTCCCCTAGGGAGCCAGAAGGCGTGAGTTATGGGCCTGCTTTTGCTCGGATTTCTTTTGAGGGCTCAGCTCTGTCACTTCTATAAGGCACACATTATACTAAGTGACTTTTGAGGTCCCTTGGAGTGACATCTTTCTCTTTCCCACCCCACCCATTCTGGGAGCTAACCCAAGTCTCTCTTTCTGCATGAGCAACCTAGTCCCCTTGACTGGAGTTATCAGTGATATTTCCCCAGTGTCTGCATACCACACCGGGAAATCTTAGCTGATGCCAAAGCCTACAATTTCCTTTCAGAGTTCATTATACTTACAGACGTTCACAGCTCCGACACCTTCGCACAGCCTGAGTGGAGGAAAGGCAGGGAAGGAAGAGAGAGGAGTCAGAACGAGACATCATCAGGTCTCCCTCAGATGCCATGTTTCATTCCCATTTATCTTTCTGTCGCTTAGACAACGGTGTCTTTGTGGTGGCTGTGGCCCTGCAGGGCACACTGCAGCGAGCAGGCTTCAGACTGGCCTCAAGTCTCATTTGCCTTCATTCAGCTGACTGCAACATGTAGCCCGAACAAGCCCCTGACAGACTTGGCTAGGCCCAGCTTCAGGAAGGAATGGCCCCCACAAACTCAGGCTTTGAGGGTTGGTCTCTGAATGCTGGCACTGTTTTGGGAGTCTGTGGAACTTTAGGAGGTGGAGTTGAGCCAGAGAAAGTAGGTCACCAAAAGTGAGATTTCAAAGGCTATACTGTAGACTCTGGCTCTTGATCTTGTCTAGTCTGCTACCATGTGAACAGCTTAACCACATACTTCCACTGCTGCGAACAGAGCTGCCTTGCCACACTCTCCTTGCTACGATGGGCCAAGATCCTCTGAAGCTGTGAGCCGGAGGAGAGGAAAGCCCCCTCCCCGCCCCCTGCACTTACATTGCTCTGTCCAGCACCGTGGTCACAGCGTTACAAGGTAACAATGATGTCCTACTGGGCACGCAGGCCAGGGGCAGAAGTTGGCTAGCGGCTCAAACCCAGAGCAAGACCTCATGCACCTATCTATAGGCAAGGTGCCCATCTTATAAGAACCAAGAGTAGAACCCAGAAAAGTTCTGACCCGGAGGTAGGGCACTTTGGCTTTAATCCTATTAAGCTCCTGTGATGGGGGGAGCTCTGGCTCTGTGGTGGCAATGGCTTGTGTGATGAGGCCACCCAAGGTCAATTCAAGAACACTGGGCTCCAGTCAGAAATGGCTCTAGCTTATGTTGCTGTTTCAGGCTAAAACTGAGATTTGAAGAGTGGAAGACAGTCTAAGCAAAGAAAGTTCCTAAGTTCTACTGAGTGGGTAAGGGACCCACCTCTGCTCCTCGCCCTCCAGCAGGCGCCTGTAGGTGGCGATCTCGATGTCCAGCCCCAGCTTGGAGTTCATCACCTCCTGGTACTCCTTGAGCAGGCAGGCCATGTCCTGCTTGGCCTTCTGTAGGGCAGCCTCCAGCTCAGCCAGCTTGCAGCGGGCATCAGTGAGGGCGGCCTCTCCCTGCTGCTCAGACTGGGTCACTGCGGCCTCCAACTTGGTGTTCTAGGGACACAGAAGAGAATGGAATAGTCTATGGTTCCTGGGTCCATCTCTGTAGTACCTGGATGTATCCAGTCTGCTGCCCTCACCCTCAAATAAGAACATTTTCTTTATAGACATGGTTCAATCAGAGTGACCATGGGCAGGATTCTGCCCATATAAATAGGAAGTATACTGAATGGTAAGACCCAGGCTGGGCACATGCTGACCCTATGGCACTGAGCAGGCACCCAGCCTCCCTGGTCCCAGCACAGCTGACCCCTACATACCTGGGACTTGGCGTTCTCAATCTCAGCCGTCAGCCTCTGGATGATGCGGTTCAGCTCATTGATCTCCTCTCTGGTGCGGCGCAGGGTCTCTCCATGCCGGATCACTGTGGCCTTGATCTCCTCACACTGAGGATGGGGGAAGCAGAGATGCCCATGAGGCACAGGATGCAACATCCACCCAATGAGCGAGCACACCACCACGGAGTGTGCAAGATGCACGGCATTACAGTGTTCAGTCAGGGCTGCCTCCTCCCCCTGAGAGCTGACTGCAGTCTCCTTGTGATCCTTGGGGTACAAGATCCTGGAGTCCTTCCCAGTGTAGCCTGTCAGGACGGGTGTTGTGACCACTGACCTTGGTGCGGTACCAGGACTCGGCCTCTGCCCGGCTGCGGGTGGCAATGTCATCATACTGAGCCTTGATCTCAGCCACGATGCAGTCCATGTTCAGGTCCCTGCTGTTGTCCATCTTGACGATGACAGAGGTGTCTGAGATGTGGGCGTGGAGGATTCGGATCTCCTGTGGGAGGAGAGAGAAGAAAGATAGTCAGGTCTTCTGGGCTTTTCTTCAACTGGCATTTCCCCAACCCCCATGACTCTGCCTACCAATGATATTTGTAGGGAACTACAGCCACCTAGAAAAGCGGCAGCTTTCTGTTTGCAAATCTCCCTTTGAGGCTGCCACAAGCACTTCTCAAATTCTTGCATGTGGAGTAGTTTAGACACAGTGAATCCAGGCTGTATCTAGATGCTTCCCTAAGGACAGATTGTTCTCTTTGACCAGCCTTAGGACCAGCAAGGCTGGGCTGTACCTGTCGGTCCAGGAAGGACTAGATGGTCTCTGGGAGGACAGCTCATCCAATCTGCCTGACTCTTCAGTCCCCTGCCCAAGCTCTCCTGACTCCAACCTGGGCTCATGTGTAAGGTTAAGCTCCTTATGGGGTGGCGGGGCGGCTTGATGGGCTTGGGGGTTCCTTCCAAGCCTCATATGTGCTTGCCATGGCTACCACCCTCACCTCTTCATACAGCCGCCGCAGGAAGTCGATCTCCTGGGTCAGCGCCTCTGCGTTGGCTTCCAGGTCTGACTTGCGCAGGTAGGCACAGTCCACGTCCTGTGGGGTTTGCAGAGAGCCATAATGGTAGCTCTTCCTTGGGCTTGGGGCCTCTGGCTGCTGAGTGGCCGGTCAGAGGGGACAGGGTGGGGTAAAACTGGGTGGGGCTATCTTCAATCACTCACCTTCTTTAGAGCCACAAATTCATTTTCTGCTGTGGCCCGGAGTGCAACTTCTTCTTCATACCTGAGGCAGGAGGGAAAGGAAGCCTTGTTCAAGTGGCTGTAGACCTTGACCTTGAAGCCTGCTCCAGAGCAGCCTGAACTCCAGGCCTCCTTAGAGGACCTGGGAGAAGCCAGGCTCCAGGCACAGGCCTATGAGAACATTGGGTCTTTGCAGTAGAGACTGGATAGTGGTATTTGGAAGCTGTGCATTTGTACACACATGTACACACACACACACAGACACACACACACACACAGGTGTGTGTGAAGTTGGGCAGAGGGAGATGCTGTTTGCCCTCATATTTTGCTCTGGGTCCTTGGTCAGCATCCTGTCTATTGTCTTTTCCTGGAATGAGCCAAGGGACCACTCTGTAGGAAGGCCAGCAGAGCATGCCACTGAAGAAGGCCTGTCCCTTTGAGAAGAAGAAACTTTCCGAAACTCAGTGCCCATCCTTCATGCCTGTGCCTCCATAGGTGACCATGCCATGCCTGCATCCCAGCAAACTGTAAACCCCCAAGGGCAGGCAGCCTACACACTAATTGCTGGATTAGTAGCATCCTGTTGTGTCTACCTGAATGTGGGAGTTTTGGAGAAGAGAGTGGGGAGGAAACCCTAAAAACAGCATCTAGAAGCTTAAGGGCAAGTTCTGGAGACCAGGAAATGTAGGTTTCTCCAGAGTGTTTCTTGAGGATGTCTTGCAAAGAAAAGGGACTCTATGCCTGAAGGAAGGCAGAGAAAGGAGCTCTTGATGGACAAGGCAGGGGTGGGCTTCCTGACCTAGGCAGTCAGAGATCCCTACCACAGGCCAGATGTTCCTCTGTATCCAGGAAGCTCCTGCCAAGACTGCCCAATGGCCCTCACCTCTTCTTGTAGCCCTCCATGGCCTCCTGAGCATGGTTGAGCTCAGCAGCCAGCCGCCCGCTGTCAGCCTCCACACACTCAGCCTCTCTCCTCAGCGTCTCGATGTAGCCCTCAAACAGAGGCTCCAGGTTGCTCTCACAGCACTTGCGGTTCTGGTAGAACTGCCACTTGGTCTCCAGCAGCTTGTTCTGCTGCTCCAGGAAGCGCACCTGCCATTCAGAATTAAAGTCTGAGAATGGACTCTTGCAGGATTAGACAGACAAGGGTGCTCACACGTGTGCATGCATGCATGCATGCATGCTGTGTGTGTGTGTGTATGCACACACACACACACACACACACGCACACACACACACACACACCACAGTAATAGCACCTGAAATCTCCTGTCCTCCTTGGTTGACATGTCATCTTATGTCATCTTTCCATGAATATACTGGGGCTGAATCAATTTTCTGACTTTAGCTCCTTCTTGAAAGCTAACTTATGTTAGTTCACCTGGTGTCACAGAAAGTGCTTAAACCATACCCTCTGGACTCAGCTGCCTCTTCTTAGTACATGACCTTGGATAAGGCACTTAGCCCTCTGCAGAGTGGGGTGGTTAAAGCACTTGTCACAAAGTGTAGAGAGGCATGCTCCCCTGAGAAGATAACACAGCAAAGCAGCTGTGACAGTCTACCTGCAAATGGACAGGTGGGCCTGTTTAGACTGTAAACTCTGGAAAGTGAAGTGTGTGCCAATTAGGGAAGCCTGCAACAGCAGTACAATTAGAATAATAGGCACCTGAGATATGAGTGCAGAAATGCCTTGTGTTCTACTCTTGTGCTCAAGAGTGGAACTGAGGCCAGGGAACATAGCTGACTGTGAAGGGAGACCTTTGATTTGCCGGAACTTTATCCCACCCTGATAATACAGATCACTGGGCTCCATATTACCCCCATCTTCCCCCCACCAGGTTGGTCCATTCCCAAATGCAGACGTTATATCCCCAGTAAGTTCTTTTCCTGTGCTAGCTTTAGTGTCTTGTGTGTGCAAGCTCTGGACAGCTCTTCCCAGCCCAGAACTGCTTTCTCCTTGCACACACACACACACACACACACACACACACAGCACGCATGCACATGTGTGAGCACCCTTTCTCCTTGGAGCCTTCACTATCTGTGCTCCAACCTCAGCTACATATGGCTGCCTGGATTCTATGAAGAAGGAGCAGTCTCATGTTTACCCTGGCTCTGCAGAGAAGGTGTCTGTGGAGCCCAGACCATAGACTCCCTTCCTATGAGGCCCTGAGGATGGGGGTTGTGGCTGTAGCTTAGGCCTACACTGAAGGCTTCGGTGTAGTAGCTTGCACAAAGTACTCTGGTCCAGCTGACACATGGGATTAAAACAGCTCTGTGAGATGAGTTTCCAGACAGTCTCCTTTGACATGGGGTCCTGCATGGCAGCTCCTGGGGAGAGGCTGTGTCTGGGCTCTGTAGGTCCCCAGTTTCACTTCCAATTTATCTCCTCATATCAGTCTTTCTGTCTGTGTCCCTTTGGCCTTGGGGGTTCTATGGGCTTATACTCACTCTGATTCCCCCTCAGCACCCAGCCTTGGCCATGCATATGGTGGGCTCCAGGAAGGGGCTGGTCCAGGTCACCCACCTTGTCGATGAAGGCTGCGAACCTGCTGTTGAGGCACTTGATCTGTTCCTTCTCCTCATGCTTCACGCACTGAGCATTGGGGTCGATCTCCAGGTTGAGGGGTGTGAGCAGGCTCTCATTGACAGAGACACTGGTGATGCAGGGGGGACTGGGCCCGCAGACTCCTCCAGAGCGGTAACCGAAGCTTCTTCCACAGGAGCCGGAGCGGAAAGCCCCACAGACGCTGTGGCTGCCGAAGCCTCCAGAGAGTCCACGGTAGCAGGAGATGCCCCTGTAGGGAGCTGCAGAGATGCAGCAGCGGCCTGGCCTGGGCCCGCAGGCTGAGGCGCAGCTGAAGTTTCCGGTTCGAAAGCCACAGGTCATGGTGGAGGAAAGGACACGTGCAAAGAGGAGAGAAGTTGACAGTGAATGGAGCTGAGGCCGTGTGTTCCCTGGGTCATTGAAGGCCCTTTTATATGCCTTCAGTAGCTGGCATTAAAAGAGGCCAAGGAGAGACAATAGTTGTGTTTTATTGGCTTGGCAGCGCCTGGTCTCTTAAGCTCCAACTCGCTTGCCTCCTAGTGTGGTTGTGTCAACAATCCCTGGCCACGGGCCTGTTTCATCTTCAAAGCCATTTACAAGCTTCCAGCTGGCCCCTGCCCCTCCCTTGGTCTTTGGGAGAGAAGGACAAGGGAATCCCTTAGATCATGATCTCTGGACCCTTTTCAGGAAGGGGCTTGCCTGGTATGTGGATCCTGGAGATCTGACCTGGCTTGGGCAGAGTAGCTGCTCTGTCCTTCCCTATGTCCCTAACACTTCCTCCTCATCTGTCCCCATCCAAAAGACAGGTAGATAAGGTCCCGTCTTCATTGTTATGGTCAACTTTTCCAGCCCCTTCTTTCATGGAGCCTGGCCAGGGTAGAGTGGGAGTGGGGGCTCAGGAGATTGGAGTGGGAACAGGGCTTGGTTTCTGCATTTTGGGCATTCCTAGTGCAGGGAAGGCAGCTAGCCCATGGGAGAAGGCAAGTTGGAATGCTCTGCACAGACTTAAGGACAGTGGTTCTCAACCTTCCTGATGCTGCAACTCTTTAATACAGTCCCTCATGTTATGGCGGCCCCCAACCATAAGGTTATTTTGTTGCTATTTCAGAACATATGTTGCTACTCTTATGAGTCATATTGTAAATTCAGGATTTCTGATATACAACCCCCAAGGGGTCGTGACCCACAGGTTGAGAATTGCTGCTTGAGTTCTAGATGCCACTGTGGGTAGGATCGGGAGCAAGGCTTAAGAACAGACTCTTCAGAGTCCCAGGTGTCTTGGTGGGGAGTGGAAGGTGGATTTGAGAAGGACTGGGCGGGGGCAGAATTGAGAGGACCCCAGACACTGTAGTTTAGCTCTGATCTGGAGACCAATCATTCCTCCATTCTCCAGGAAATGTGACCTTGGTCACCTTGGCTGGAGCCGCAATGCTGCTCTCTGGGGATTCAGCCAAGACCTGGGGTTTTGGAGGTGGGTGGTGTGGAAAGAGCTTGGAGAAATCAGTTTTCTGCCAGTGGTTAGTGGAGAAGCTGCTATTGCGAAGAATGTCCTTCAACGTCCAGACTCAGGAACTCCGGTCTGACCAGCTCCAAGTGCCAAGCTCAGGGACTGTCTTGGTGTGCCTGTACCCACCAGGAAACAGGAAGAAAACTGTGTGGGGTCTACAGGGTCCTGCATGGGGTCCATTCCTCCCCCAGGGAGGACTCACTGGGACTCAGGGAACTGCCCTTAAAGCTGTCTTTATTTGGCCTTATTGTAAAGCACAGGTCACATGATGGCTGATCCAGGAGGGTTCCCTAACCTGGTGTCTGAGCTCGTAAACCTCCCAGGCACACGTCTCTTGATGGTCTTTGAGAATGACTCCTTTGATGGGACCATTTCCCGAGTAGGCTAAGCCTGAGCTAAAAATAACCCTCCACGCATCCCACAGGGCCTCACCTTTTGCCCCCCTCCTCCTTGAGGTATATGGGGTGTGGATCGAGTACATTCCACACGGAGCTTTTGGAATGAAGAGGAGCCTGTCTGCTGCGGGGAACTTGTCAGGAAGCTGGGCCACACTTGCCAGGGGTGTGGAGGAAAGGTCTCTTCTGGACCCCACACGCTCAGGTCTCCACGGTTTCAGGCCGAGGTGTGGACATGGGATAGGGGCATCTGGCATGAGAGACCCACCACGGTGTTGGCCTTGAGGCTTGGGCCTGGTAGGATCTCTGCAGCTGTTGGAGGGAGGGTGTGGCTGACCAGTTTTGTCATGCTAAGCCTTAGCAGGCTCACCGGTGCTGAACATCCGAGAAAGACCCTTCTCCCCTGTGCAGAGGCAAGTATCAGGACCGGCTTGGTTTGGTGGTCGTGTGGGACAAGGTCCTTGAAGTGCTGAGGAATGGAGAGTCCTTCCCAAAGCTCACCTTCTTTCCTGCCCATCACTGCACCCACGGGGCTCTGGCTAGCTCGTCAGTCAGTCACAGTCCTGGGGCTTTCTCTGAGAGACTCTGTATAGACACACACACACATCTCAAGGATGTTCACTCCTGCCCAGCTCTTGCTGTACATCCCAACATTCATGATATCCTTGACAATTGGGACCTCTTACCAGCTCTGTGTGAGGCCCAGGCTACTCTGGCTCCCCTATGTGTAAAATCGGAACGGCAGCAGCGGGGCACATGCTTTGCTGGCCTAGGATTAGATGGTCCCAGCTCAAGCCATAGGATGGCCCCCCACCCGCCCCACCCCAACTCAATGCTTACAGGGTGACTGGGCCTTGGTTGCAGGCAGCCAGCAAGACCTTGCAAAGGGACAGTGTCATTGGCAGTGAGATGCCAAGCACCACACCTTGGGTCAGCAGCAAAGAGCCATGGATTTATGAGGCGACCATCGCCACCTCAAAAAGCCTAAATTAGAGCTCACACATGTAAGGTGCTGAGGAACAAAGGCACTGGGACCAGGGAGCCCCTGAAAACAGACACAGAGAGGAAACTGACAAAGTGCCCTAGGCAACTCTCCCCCACCAAGGCTGGCTCTGCCCGCCTGGGTTCCGGTTGTGATTGGTTCTGATTTTGAGCAAGGCCTTATAAAGGCTCTGCTGAGACATAAGGCCTGCGCTCTGTGCCTGCTCTGGGCTGCTGCTTGCTGCCTCAGTTGCCTAGGGACTGGCCTGTCCCAGCAGCCTGCTGCTCAACCAGCCTCTGAGTTCTGTCAGTTGTTCTGGGCTGGTTGCTCCTACCTACCCTTTCTCCTAACTGTGTTTTTTCCTAGTTATGATCACCTGAATGCCTGATTTCTTATTCATGCTCTCTGGCTTTGCTATTTCTTATCTTCGTGTCTCCACATTCATGGGCCCTTGCTTTTGCTTTCCGTCCTTTCTTAGTTGAATTTTGAGAAACATTCCTGTGACAAACATTAGTAGGTGCATCTCTGCACCTGTTCTTCAGTTTCCTTAACGCAAACTGTTCAATGTGGGCCTGTGGGACCAAGGGACTTTCCTGGGCTTGGGCCTGCCCGTCTGGTGCCTGGCTGCTTTCAGAAGTAATATTTTTTTGGGGGAGGGGTAGCTGTTGCTGGGAAGTCAGAGGGCCTGGGACTCAGGAAATGTAGGTACTATATAATATCTGAGTTGGATGTGGTGTGAAAGGGTAGTTAATCTCTGCAAGGTTTCTTTCTTCAGCTGTAAAATGGTGGGGTGGCTGTCTGGGCTCTGTGATGAGCTAGCCTGGGCTCTGTGATGAGCTAGCCTGGGCTCTGTGATGAGCTAGGCAGCTGATGTATGTGAAGTGCATCGGTGCACCCCATCAGAGGGCTTAGTTGCAGGCCTTTATAACCTCTCTTCTTTCAACCGTGGCATTTCTAGTTTTGCCTTCTGCCTGTGAACCCACAGTACACGGAAGTCAGTGGCCCCCTCACACTTGACAACTGCATATTTCAGAAATACTATGCTCCTGATGGAACAGAGCGGAGTTTACTACAGGGTCTATTTGCAGCAATGCCCCAGTAAAATGGAGACTGGGGAAGCAGGTCTTCAAGACTGGTGTGGTAGGTACACCTGTCTCAGCAGCTCAGAGGAGATGCAGCAGCCCAAGGCTCAGAAGGATGGAAAAGATGCTTCTCAGAAAAGCATAGAAAAGCGGCAGGTGAGTAACTGGGCTGGGTGGAGCTCAGAGGATGTCACATCTGAAGGATGAACCTTGGGTCCATTCTGACAAGAGATGCTCATAAGATTAGTTATGTTTATTTCATTTTGTCAATGTGACAAAATGCCTCAGAAACAGTCCAAGGGAGGAGGATCTGTTTTGGTCACTGCAGGGGACATAGTTGCCATGGGGGAAGATGTGGTACTGGAACCACTCATTTCCATGGCAACGGGAGCTTGGAGCTCTGCTTGCTCACATCTCAGCAGTCCAGGTAGCACAGAGATCAAGTTATACCCATAAGCTCTGTCCCCAGAGTTCTACTCTGGCCAGCTTGATCCATGTCTACAGTGATGTCACCAGCTGGGACTGAACATTCTAAGCAGGCTGTGGGGGTCATTTCATACTCAAACCATAACACCCATTTCAAGGTTGTGCTGGAACATAACTGGGATTACTAGCCAAAAAGAGAAATTAAGGGCCCAGGGGTGGATGTGTGTGGGGTGTTGCTCAATGGGTTAAGAGTGTTTCCTGTGTAAGCATGGGGACCTGAGTTTGGAATTGCCAGCATCCATGTAAAAAGTGGAGTGTGGCTGTGCCTCCTGTCACCCCCCCCCCCAGGCTGGAGCTCATTGGCCAGCCAGCTTAGGTGAGTCAGCAATCTTCATTGCATGTTCCTTCCATGATGCCATACCCCTATGATGAGATAGCCTTAAAACCCAGTCAGTTAACCATGCTGTTTGGATTTTCTTCCTCTAAAAATAATGAGCTGAAAACCTTGTTTTCTTTTATTCCTTCCTAGCCTCAGACATTTTGTTATAGTAACATAGTAATGTAATATGGATTGACAAACCCAGAAATTCCACTGCTGAGAAGACTGCAACCTCAAATCTGAGAGTAGTTAGTTCTCCTAGAAGGACAAGGTCATTCACAGTGGCATTATCTCTACAGAAGCAGGTTAGAGGCAACCTCAGCTACCAAGACTTGGCCAGAGATGAGTACATGATAATAAATCATGACATGCCAGAAGGTGTGAAGGTGGAAGGTGACCAGAAGGCAGTGTGACAAGGTTGATGCACTTACAAGCTATGTGGTACCGAGGCATGAAAGACAGAGCAGAAGATGGGGACAAGGGCAGGAGCTGAGGACCAGAGGAAGAACTGGGGACTAGAGCAGGAGCTGGAGACTAGAGCATGAGCTGGGGACCAGAGCAGAAGCTGGGGACCAGAAGAGAAGCTGGGGACCAGAGGAGAAGCTGGGGACCA